CTTTCTAACTTACCTTCGGCGCAGTTTTAGTGACGCATTTTATTGTCGTGCCGAAATTCATACAACTTTGCATATAACGCAAGAACGGTTGTAATTTATGAAGAACATGTTTGAGCCTATGACACAATGAACATTCTGCGACAAATCACAAGCTGTAATTTCATATCATATGCAATTTTTTACAAAAATAATTGTTAAAATAATAAGATACAGAATTTTCCACATGCTGCTCCTAGAGTTAGGCAACAGATTCTATTGCGTATAAGATTTCGAAACAATAAAGAGGTTATATTCACTGGCAAGTGAAAAAAGTAGTATTTTCATAAATTTTTTTTTGAAGAGGCGTTTTATTTTTTTTTTTTTAGTAAAAGAAATATACATGCATATATATTTAATTTAACTAAATTTTCACTCGAAATGCCGTTAATATTTTTTATGAGTTACATATATTTTGCACTACACATAGCCTTTTGCGCTCACACACAGCAGCCTTTTCTGCACCTTTGACCAGTTTTACTGATTTTTTTTTCATATTCAAAGATGCACAGAACAATTGCGCGCGGAAAGACCAATAAAGCGACAACAATAACGCGCAAGTAGCAAAAAGGTTTTAGGGCAAATACGGACATAGTTACATACACACTTATACATACACAAGTATTTTGTGAAATGTATGTGAGAGATGAGGTGAGGGGGTTTTCAATGCAAACAAGCGCAAAGAATTACGCAAAAAAATATCGAAACGTACAGTAGTCGCATATATATATGTACAACTATAATACATAATACATATCTACAATATATATCGATATGCATATGTATGTGTAAATATGTACATGAGTACGTGCGTGATTGCCAAAAGATTGTGTTTATTGCGTTGCTTGCCTATAAGCACACACATTGGTTTGCTATTTTTCGCAACATTATTTTTTTTTGAACAATCTCACTAAATGTCAAAAAAGCAACAATCGTTTACACCCACTGTCAAAGCGAGCGCAAAATGGTAAACGGTATATATGACAGTGGCAGAAAAAATGAAAAAAAAAACAGATATTGCCGAGCACGTATCAAAGTGGTTCGGTGTAGCCCTGCGGCGTTGCAAAACAAGCAAATAAACACACAAACATATAGGCGACTAAATAATATAGCGGTAAAAAACGTTGTTTCCCCATTATGTAAAAGTAAGTAGGCGCGAAGAAGGGGAAAAAAGTGAAAAGCACTAAATAAACTTTGCAAAGTAGCAAATTACTTACCAGCCTGATAAAAGTTGTTTCTAAAGTTTTTTTTTTATTGTATTTCTTTAAATCCATGTTTTTGTATTTGCATTAACATACTTTCTTCTTGCTTTGCGTCTAATATAAACAGTACGTCAAGTAAGCCGCTTGAAGTAAGAAAATGCAAATAAAGCGCTAAAAGGTGTAAATGTATGTAGAATGGGCGTATAATGGCGGACACAGCGGCTGCTGCGGTGGTGTGCTGTGGGAGTGAAGTTTACATTTTCATTTACTGTCTGTTTGCTGAGAGTGGTTTTGGTGAGTAAATATTTGTGTGCGCTCGCCACACGGGAATGAGTGTTGCTAACGGACAAAAATAAAAGAAGAAAAAACAGTGAAGCGAGGCTATTAAGGGCGTCAAAAAAAGTTTAGGTTTTAAGCAGAATAACTAAAAATAATTATAAATATGCAGTTTGGTGAAAAAAGTAAAGTTATTAACTAATTTGTAGTATGTTTATAGTTATTTGACTATGAATGATTTTTTTATACGAATAAAATTTTTTTTAGAAAATGTATAACAAATGAAATTTTGGTCAAAAAAATTTTGTATTAAAAATTAAATTTTTACTTCCGTATGTATATATTGAATATAAGTTCTGTTATAGAAAAAATATTTTTTGGAATTTTTAATTTATAAAAAATATGTTCTGTTTTCGTTTAAAAAAATATAGTATCATTTTCTGTTTTTTTTTAATATTGTTTTGACTTTGTAATTGTTACAAAATATTTTTTTATAATTAATAATTAAATTGTTGTTTTTAATCATTAATTTAAAAAAATATTTTTTGAGTTTTGATTTTTATAAAAAAACTATTTTTAATTTTTATTTTAAAGGTATAAATATTTCTTAATTATTTTTAAATAAAGATGTACTAAAAAATTATTTAGTTGACAACGTATAGTATTCAAATTCATTTCATCAACAAAAATTAAAAATTTTGCGCTTATGCAGCTTTCATTTTTAGTATACACTGCGTATACGTTACCTTTATATATTCATGGGTTAATTTGTGGAACTGCATAGCATTATTGAATAATTAGAGGCATGACAGGGTGCAGAACTGCAAACAAATTGTTTTTCATTTTATAATTTTTTTTCATATTCGCCATTTTTTTTAATTTACAGAATTTAGGAGGAAATATTGTGAAAATGCTGCGAAGCAACACTTTTTCAGTGTACACTGCGTATACGTGACCTATCTATTTTATCTTTGTTTACGTGGGTTAACTAGAATAAATGCATAAGTGAGGTTTTCAATCACTTTATTTTTAAAGGCGTCGGACCGAAACTTTTTGCCAAAAAAATTTTGCCAAAACTATCAGACGTTTATAATTTGATTTACATTAGAGCGTGAAAATATTATGTGAATTGTATATTCTCGTGAAATAAGTATATTTATGCGAGTTTCTCTTTTCCAATAAGCGATAATAAGTTTTAAGATAATTTTTATACTGGAATATTTGTTTGATATCAATTCAGAAAATTTTTCTTGTCTTTAACGTACTAATGCACTAATATTTTCCATAAAATCTTAAAATAAGGATTAATTGAGTCAAAATTCCATTTTTCATAAAATCTTATAGATTTTTTTAAATAAGCATTAATTGAGTCAAAATTCCATTTTCCATAAAATCTTATAGATTTTTTAAAATAAGGATAAATGGAGTCAAAATGCCATATGCACGACATTTTTAAACAAAAGAGGACGTAATTTGCTCAGTGTTGCATCAGGTGCGAGATTGAACACAAAGAAACAACCTTGAAATTATTTCCTACTCAACTGGCAGCCGTTCAACTAGTTTAAGTAGTCATTTACAATTTCACATTGTTTTTTTCTGAAAATAATTTAAAACGGTTTTTATTTAAAATTAAAAAAAATTAAAAAAAAAGTTATTAATTAAAAAAAAAATTCAATATCAATTTTCATGGGTACTCGGTCGCTAAACGACATTCGGTCATTTCCATCGGGATTATTTAAATTTTAGTTATGTGTCATACACAGCGTATACGTAATAAAGTCAGTGTCATCGAACCGCCAAAAAAAAAATATGTGTAAGAAAATTTTCATTTAACGTATGCGGGTTTTAACTAAACATTTAAGCTCTTTGCTTGCATCATGCAATTTAATTATAAGCCAGCTCTTTTTATTTATTTTTATTATCTCTTTGTTTAGTTTTCTCTGCAGGCCTGAATTGTAAAGCGCTGTCACTCATCAGCACATTTCATTGAGTAATAAGTGACAGCAACAATAAAAGAATCGGTATAAAGTAAACAACACGTCGGCAATCACATTTTGCCTGTGGTAGCATATACCATAAGTACATATATAACAAAAAAAAAAGGAATTCAATGCGAAAATATGTTGAAAACGTGTTTGCACTCGTGCTACTCTTCACACAAGCAATAAAACAAGCACAGACACATTAACCACTACGGTCGTAAGTTAGATAGCCAACCTTATGGCATTCATACAAACAACTGATATATCACACGCCGGCAGACATTATGGCCATGCATGTGGTTAAGTCGATTTCCAAGCCATTAACCTCGCAAGATACACACATAAATAGGTATTTACATATGAACTTTAAAGGACCAACTAACATACATGCATAAAGTTTTCGTTGGCCTTACCTGCTGTCTGTCGTTGACTCCCAACTTGTACAAGCAAGCAAGAAACAAATCGTGTACGTGCGATAAACAAGTAGATATGCAAATAAATGAAAATAACAAACACCAGCACAAGCAAAAGCAAACAAAATGCAAAAAAAAGTTCTTTACATTTTCGTGTGCTTCTCTTTGGTTTTGTTGAGTCATATAGTCGACTGCGCAGCACAGTGCTGGCAGCGCCGCCGTTAAGAGGTTTGTTTCATGAGCACAACAAGCATGTACATATGCATGATGTGATGGGGAAATGACGTGAATAGCGGTACAACAGGTTAGGGGTTGGTTTAATATAAATAACATAAAAATTAAATAAAAACAATTAACAAAATGTTGAGATCTCTTTTCGGCTTACACATTTACGCATATAAGGTTTCTTTCATTTCCTTTGGTTAGTTCCACATTATTTTCGTTGTTTATTTTTGGCATGTCAATGTGTGTGTTTTACGAAATTAGTCATATGTAATTATTTTTGTACTGATTGCCATGAACTTGGCTCATGACTGTTTTATAAGAATCAAGTAAATGGCGCAGAAACGTGTTTGTTGCGCGTATAATGTATGTATATATTTCTACATACATATGTAGCTGTAGTGTGAGCACACAACCAGGTGTGATGAAATATAGTGCCTGCACGATGCGCTATTGAAATTGGATACACTATTGTGAAATTTGTTAGAAAATTGTGACTACATAGATAATACTTATTTGTACAGTTGTTTGACCGACTTTTTCCCTTACTTTGTGTTATCCGATTTAGTGTTATGCCAAAAAATGTAGGGTTCTACAATTTTGTGCGAAGCCTTATGAGAAAATATGTGATAATCTAGGCTGTTCAGTATTGCGTGTCGCAGCACAGCCTCTGTTAGAACATATATACTTTCATGTTGTATTAAATTTCTCTCCGAGGTTTTGAGCATGAGAAAGGCACATAATCGCAACAAAAATACACAAGCCATTTAAGAACAATAAATTTAAGGGTGACAAAAAAAGAATTTAATTTTTTACAGTAAGACTTTTGAAATCAAATATTCTTTGTTACTTTCCGTGTCTCCCCACAGATTACGCGCTGGATGGAGCAGCTCCAAGACCAACGAACCACTTCGGCCCGATGAGCAAGCCGCTATTATTTCCGTTATACGCCGAAATGAGGAGATTGAGACTGCTGAGCGGCAACGCGTGGGCCGACTTGTCGAGCGTGTGGAGAAAATTAAACAACGCGCCGTCGAAGGTGGTCCAAATTGTTGCCGGCTCTGCGGTGACACTTTTGGACTACTGCGTTCGACGCGCATCATTTGTGAGGACTGCAAAAAATCGGTATGTGCTAAGTGTAGCGTCGACATTAATATACGTTATCATACCAGTGATCGTACGCGTGAAATATGGTTGTGCCGCATCTGCTCGGAGACGCGTGAAATGTGGAAAAAATCTGGTGCATGGTTTTTCAAAGGGCTTCCCAATTATGACGCACCGAGCAGCACTAATTCGACACCCACACATCAGTCAGCAAGTGGCGGCGCCAGGTCTGATGTGTTGCTGCCGCCGCGTGGCGCACAAAGCTGCAACAACACGCCCACACGTAATGTGCGCGTTAAGAAGCTGACAATACATGTGGACGATAGCAGCAGTTCGGAAGAGGATACAAATGTTGGCGGTGGTGGTGATGTTGTGGATGGCGCCATCAGCACTGTATGCGCGGCAGCGCCGTCAACAACAGCACGCACACCTAACAGAAATTCCTTCAACGCTGATGTCTCACCACCGGCAGCGACGCGTATGCAACGTGAGGACAGTTTTCGTTTACGCACTTTCGGCTCCATACGCAGTTTCATTGATAGCGGTGAACGTAAACTTTCCAATTCTTTTTTCGCCAATCGTCAGTCATCCCGAACAGAAAGTAGTCAGCAGGACTATGATACCATATCAACGGCGTCAACTGTTACGTCGGGGAACAATAGGCGTGAGAGCAACTGTAATTATACGCGTCGCAGTTCCGTCTCGTCATCTTGGTCGATTAGCGGCGAAAGTTCATCGGGCAATTCGGCGAACACGAGCAATCATGTGCCCAATCACAATCAAGTTAATTTGCATTGTCGCGAATTGCTCGGCTGGCTCGAGGTAGCGGTTAGCTATCGTGAGAGCGTACATAGTTTAGATTGTATAATGGTAAGAGCACGCGATCTACCGGCTATGGATGCGGCCGGCTTAACAGATCCCTATTGTAAGGTGAATCTTGTGACGCCCGATAGTATAACGAAGTATTCGCGTTGGTTGCGCACTAAAACGGTACATAAAACACGCAACCCGGAATTTAATGAAACATTGCAATTTGTGGGCGTCGAACCGGAAGAACTAGGCGGTTCGTCGCTGTATGTGGCGATATTCGATGACGACAAGTACGGCCATGACTACTTAGGAGGCGCTAAGATAGCGCTCTCGCCGGTAAGTTGGTAATAGAGAGCAGTCGTTAATTTCGGAGCACTTAATAATTCTTTTTATACGCTGCACAGGGTATATTAAGTTTTTTAAGAAGTTTGTAATATACAGCAGGAAACGTTGGAGACCCGATAAAGTATACATATGAGTATATGTCTATACTTAAGCATAAGATGCATATGTCACTATATAAATGATCAGTGTGACGTGCTGTCTCTCAGGTTTTGAGATATCTTAATCTGAACCGATCTGAAATTTTGCACACGGTCTTTTTTGCTCAAGAATTTAACTGTTAATTTGTCGGTAGCGCCGATTTTTTATTTAATAAAATATCTTCACGAAATTTGGCATATATTGCTATCTTAAACAAAATTGTTCACATGCACATATTAGGGTGGAGCGAAAAAAATTTGGTCAAGAACCGTCAAATTCGGTAATTTTTATATAACTGTGAAGAGTTTAAACCAAAAAAAAAAATTTTAACTCGAAATTTACTTTAAAAATGAGTGGGATGTTTAAAAAAAAAATTACATATATGGCTGCCATACAAACTGACCGATCAAAATCAATACAAAGATATTTTTTCCTTATTAAGTAAGCTTAGTTCACCTTGAAGGTCGTTCATATCAAACCATGTGCATAGAAAGAACTAGCAAAACGTTTTCCGTTGTATGCAAACCGTCGATCGTTTTAATTGCTATAAAAAAATGCACGGTATTATAGCTTCGGTGCAGCCGAGTTTAACACTTTTTTTTTAAAGTTTTTTAACATATTTTTCTCAAACGCAGATACACAATACCAATCAATATCGCATATCTGTGCCGTTGGGTGGTGAGGATCGTTTTAGCAATGAAGCGGAACTGTCACAGGAGTGGCCGCATGGAAAAATTTTAATTTCACTCTGCTATAATACAAAGCGACGTGCTTTGGTAGTGAATGTGAAGCAGTGCATCAACTTGATACCGATGGACAACAATGGCAGCTCGGATCCATTTGTTAAGCTGTAAGTGTGAAATGTTTTTGCATTTTTTTTTAAACACGCTAAAAACTTGACATTTAACACTTTGATTACTCTCTAAAATATGTTTACTATTTTGTATACAATTCAAAAACTATGCTAGTCCATTATGTGAATAAAGCTTTTATAAAGGTTGGGTGTTTGGAAACCATGTTAGAACCGTCGTTTAATACGATTTGATCAAATTTGAAGCGGACGGGTCCATTAAAATGGCGCGCACAAAACGAATCGAAAATTTTTTTTTCTTTAGATTGGTGCAACCTTTTTTTTTGTTTACGTGAAGTTTGAGCTACACATGTCAAATAGTATGAGTTGTTTGTTAACCGATTTTTGTCCGATTTTGTTAACCGTTAAAGTTTGTCTGCCGATTTTTGCTATGAAAAAAAAAAATTGAACAACAAGTTTGCTGGAAAGTTTGCGTTTCCAAGCGAAACCAAAATTTGTAAATATTTAAATACGTTGCAGTAATTTTGGGCAGTACGGGTCAAATTTGATCAGATGTTATATATATGTATATTTATGTACGCTTATATGTATAAAGATATGGCAACTCAATTTATGTTAAAAAAAAAATATCGTTTAACTTTAACCGTATACATAATTATATAAGCTCTTTTTAAATATGTTATATTTATTTGCATATTCATATTCATACAATTTGCACTCTGCTAATTGCAACTGAGCGCTTTATTAATATTAAAAATTTCTTTTTCTCGATTTTTAGACAACTGAAACCTGACTCGCATAAGAATAAAAAATACAAAACCGGTGTCAAATGGCGCACATTAAATCCAATATATCGCGAAGAATTTTATTTCGAATCCAGCCCACATGATCTGAATAAACAAACGTTGTTTATAACCGTTTGGGATAAAGACATTGGCAAGAGCAATGATTTTCTGGGCAGTTTGGTAATCGGCTACAACAGTAAGGGTGAACGTTTACAGCAGTGGCTGGATTGCATAAAATTGCCGGATCATTTTCACGAGAAATGGCATTGTTTGTCAGGAGAACACCCAACGCATTGAACACATTAAACAAATTAATGATGGAGCATATTGAAATTTATAAAAAAGTAATACTTATAATAATAATAATATAAGAAGGAACTGACCAGGGTTGAGAATTTTGAATTAAAAAATTTTATATTAACAACTAGATTTTCAATTTTAATTCCAATTTTGCGATTGGGATTAAAAATTGAAAATATCCCAAAATCAGAGTTAAAAGTGATAAAAATACATGTAATGTAAAAGTTTCCCGATCACTGCACTAGAGTATTGAAGATGTTGAGACTGTGCGAGCTCTAGTTCAAAATGATAGTATACGAAGTACGCCAGCGTAAAAAAATGTTAATTTAAAAAGATTTTTTTATTTTTATTTTTTATTATAAACTTAGAATTAAAATTGTTCTTATTTTTCAATACGGTATTTGGGTTTAGAAAAAGGAAAATTATTTTTAATTAAGACTTTTGGGATTATCAAAAAAAAAAAATTTATCTTAATACAATTATTTTTTAAAGCATTATTTGCAATCCTGGACCTGACAGAAGCAGCATATTAAAAATATACTATGTAAATATGCACTTGGATCAATGTGCAGTGCATTTATATTGTATTTAGATATAGTTACATATGCATTATATACATACATACATAAATATACAGATGTATGAATGCAATCCACCTACAGAAATTGTTGCCAAAACTTTGAATCTAATAACTAGAGTTAATTTACTTTGTTATAGAAACTGCTACACGAACTACTTACATAAGTTATTTACTATACATACGTACTTATGCGTTTAATAAAAATTGTGCTGTAAATACTTACAAGCATACACATGTATGAAGGTATTTGCACATGTCTTTGCTTGTCACCTTTATCATCCGCAACGGCATCGTCAACCCTCCTCATTCAGCATTTATTACCCCAATTTTGCTGCATTCTATTTTATAGTAAATACTATAAATTGTTTTTAAGTGTCCTTAAATGGGTTAAATAAGCATCAATCAAACAAGCACACGCACACATACACACGAAATATATATTTTTAAATAGTATTAAGCAAATATGGCAAAAATAAAACACGATCTGTAACTGCTCTGTAAGCGAACGCGTATGCATTAATGCACAAAATGACTTTGTTTAATGCAAAACAAAAACGTTGCTGGAATAAAATATGTGAACTTGGTACGACAAAATAAATATAAATAACTTTTATTTTAATTTTGAGCAACAAATACACTATTTATTGCTATTAAATGTTTAGCTTGGTTTTAACTTTCACTTATTTATGAATGTTTACAGAAGGTGCGTTTAATGGGCATACGTTACAGAGATCGTTCTCTGCACGTTTACCTATATGACATTCTTGCATGTGCTTCGTTCAAATATTTCATTAATAACGTTTTAAAAATATAAATTCAAACCTACCAGTAATTATTTTTTACACTTACACTTTGACATGCAGCCAAATGTTAATATTTAACATACAAATATGTATTTATAATAAGCTTTACATACATATGTATTTAGATTTAATGAAGATTTGTCGCAGCGGCAAACTGTGCTGGAGTGAGTGAAATCAAATTACGCTAAATTAGTGTATACATAAGTATACATACATACGAACATATGTATGCGTTTTATTTACTCAGCGCCGGTGTTTGTGCTTTTTATTTCCATATTCTAAATTTTGTTTACTAACAAAAATACCAATATAAGCATTGTTGTTGCTCAAATAAATGGCTGGGAGGTAGTGTGATAGCCACTAGCGTTGTTAGCAGCTAACTATAGCAGCTAATGGCACCTGGGTGGAATATTTAAAAGAAGTACCACCTTAACCTTGCGTTTTTGGGAAATTAATTAAATATTCTGGGTGGTGTCTAGCATTTTTATTGGCGTTTGCAATAAAACTTGCATAGTTAATTTATGTGTTTTTTTTGTGAACAAGTGTTGAGAATAAATTGAAAGTAAACATGGAACATGAAAAAATAATGTGAATATTGCTATTTTATTATTGCTGCGTCGTGTTTTATTAATTTTTTAACTTTATTCAAAGGCTGGAATCATGCCATAATCACTAATGCAATTTATGTTATTGATGAACTCGTGGTTTAATTAACAGGGCTGCACAAATTGTTTTTAATTAGTTTTTTTCCAACGAAATGGGTGTATAGTTACAAAGAAATTAAACGTGTATATGCACATACATACATATGTACATAAGTATATGTATATTTACATACCGGTTTCACTATTATGACATTGTTTACCTTTTTTATTTATTACAAACATTACTCAACGTAAGTAAAACAAGTTTTTGCGGTTAGTGTAGGGTGCTTGCAAGCTAATTTTATTGCATTAAATATGTATAATTTGTTAGGTGCATAATACAATAAATTAGCAAATATATATGTATGTATATATATTGACTACTGGTTCATTGAAATGTGGCTATGGAATTACGTTCTAAACACGGATTTTTATTTATTTTCAACACTTTTTAATTAACATTTAAAATGGCTGTAAACCTTATGGCTTATGAAGACAAAAGCTATTCACTGATTTTAACTGTATTTGTAAGAAGACGTTTGTTATAAATTGTTTCGAGCTGCAAACGCAGTCTACTTGTTTCTGTTTGCATTAAAAATTCCCTAATTTAAATTGCAAAGGCGCGAGTTTCGAGTTGGAATAACTGTTTAAAATGGAAAATTATATGATAAAGTGACGCGCAAAAACCGCAAATATTATTCGACGTATATTTTAACATCACATAGGTTATGTTAGACGTGTCATTACACAGGTTAATGGATTACATACCAATATTTGTATGTTTGTATTGATCAACCAATTTAGTACATGTGATGGATATGTGTATAACAATACTAATATTTAAAGCATGTTTTGCTTTTAATACTTATATATTTGAGAAATTTAATAATTCTTAATAAAAAAAATGTTATGATTAAAAACGAAGCATTGTAAAATATGCTGAGATTCTTCCAATTCGAAGTATTATGCAAAAGTAAGAAAATATTTGTTACAAAAAGAGGTATGCGAATTACATATTTGTTTCAATTTGTTGTTGTATTAATTTACTAAGCTTGTTACCCATTAGGCATATCGATTATTTCTACTATTTTTAACTCACTGCTTCACTGTTTTTTTTTTGTCTGTGCTCTTTGTTGCCTTTTAAGGTTTCACATATTTAATGCAGTCCAAAAAACGCAACAACTAATGGCAACAATATTGTTGTCATAGAATTGCAGGCGGCGTAATTGAGCCATGTCATGGCACCACTTGTTTTTACCGAAGCATTGTCCGGCAACAAGGGTGATTGTGTTGGATTTGCTTGCAATTGTTGTGAAGCTGCGGTGACTGGGCTCATGGGCGCCAATGGTGCACTTCCTTCGCCAGCTGGTGGCATAATCGGCGCAGTACCATTCATTTCAGCACCAGCTACAGGTGCTGATGGTGGTGGCGGCGGTGCGGGGTAGCAGGCAATTTTCTCGACTTCAATCATCTTGCTGTTATCTGCTGGATCGGTATCATTTACGCGCACTGGTACACAAATTATGCCGCCTAGTGGCGGTTCTCCGGGGGCTGGTTGTGGAGCGGCGGCAGCAGCAGCTTCTGCGGGTGCAGCACCTGGTGCTGGTGTTGGTTGCCCTGCGTTGTTATCACCTATGGGGGCAAGTGGTACGTTGGGTATTGCGGGGTCAGCGGGTGCAGCGGCTGGTGCTGGCGCAGGCATGGGTTGTGTGCCGTTTTCGCCAGCGACACCTGTGGTGATGACCGTAGCACCGGCAGCATTTGTCGTAGTCACTGAACCTGGTGGACCGTTATTAATAATGATGATTTTGCCATCATCACTGCCTGGTTGTCCAGCGGGTGCAGCTGGTGCAGATTCGACACGCGTATGTGTTGGCGTAAGCACGTGACCAAGAATTGCGCCTCCAATAGCGCCAGCAGCCAAACCAGAACCTAATATTTAAGTATTTAGAATTGGATATGTTTTTTTTTTTTAATATTAAGAAACCTACCAAATCCTAATCCTGACGACGTTTGTTGCGGTGGTGATGAATAAAGCACAGCGCCTGGAGGAAGTGCAGCACCAGGAGCTACGTAAGTAGCACCAGCTGGTACGCCAGCCGAGGGATAATGACTACCTCCAGCTGGATAGTAACCGCCATTAACTGGCATATGTCCAGGCGATGAATATGGGTTTCCTCCTGCAGGGTATGAACCAGGTGAATGGTATGTTGCACCCGCAGGGAGTGAGCCAGGTGAATGGTATGTTGCGCCTGCAGGTACAGATCCAGGTGAATAATACGTTGCACCAGCTGGAACTGAGCCAGGCGAATGGTATGTTGCACCAGCTGGAAGTGAGCCAGGTGAATGGTAAGTTGCGCCTGCAGGAATCGAGCCGGGAGAGTTGTAATTGGCGCCAGGATAAGAGCTCTGCACACCGTGTGTATTAGTAGCTGTTATAGGAGTGTGTACATTGGTTCCAGAAGCCGGAGGTCCTTGCGATTTTGGAACATTCCATCCTATTGGTTGAGTATTTGTGGCGCCAGCTCCGGCAGCTGAAGCTGGGCGATTCGGTGCTGAATTATATCCCGAATAGCTCAATTTAGCAAGATCTGCGTGTGAGTTACCTGCACTGCTTTGTGTCGGATAGCTCGGTTTGGTCACATGCCCACTATTGGATTTCCGATTGTTGCTCAAAACGCGCTTTGCTTCGCTATGGCCTAAATTTTGGGTAAGCAATAAAATTGCAAATATAGCGGCCGATGCGCAATTCACTTTCACCACCCTCGCCATTTTCACACTGTCGTGGTTTTCCGTGTTAAAACAGGTTGCTTTCAAGCAAGTTAAGTTGCTTGCGTGGCTCTGTTTCTTAGTCCGTCAGTCACTTCACTATTAAACAAATTAATTATACTTGCTAATGACAAAATACACAAGAGTTATTTCCAGAATGCGCTTCCTAGCGTGCAACTGAAAAATTTCTGTTTAATGTTGGATCGTTTCGTTTCGTTTGAACTGAATCACTGAAATATCGACGAACAACAACAGATGCGAAGCTCCATCGTCGGCTATTGCAAAATTGGGGGAACGTGACTCAATGTTGCATTTCAGGGTCAACGGAGCCACCGTGACGCTGAAATGCCTCAACTTAGTCAGTGACCGCACCGCAAACTGACAGCTGTCAATATCAACACTGAACATACTGCTTTGGTTGCACATCTGCCAGTTGATTTCCCTGTTGAGAATTTTGAGAATCTTATAGCTTGTCGTTCCCAACGTGTGTCAGAAATAATTGAATTTAGCAAGCATTTAATTGTTAAAAATAAAAAAAATTATTTAAAATCTTTAATTAAACATGGCTTCGATCAGTTTATTGAACCCAAAGGCTGAATTTGCACGTGCTGCTCAAGCTTTGGCCATTAATATCTCAGCTGCAAAAGGCTTACAAGATGTGATGCGTACAAATTTGGGCCCGAAGGGAACAATGAAAATGTAAGTGGAAATATTTTTTTAAATTTATTATACTTCGCCTAATACAACTATCGCATTTTCGTATTATTTTTTTGTTGAAAAATGTAATTTTGTGTTCATATGGTCTCAGAAAGCCGCCGCCTTAGCACGAATATTTGAGGTTAGGTACCCAAACGATTCGTCATCAGACGGCCGACTATTATTTTGTATGAGACATTAAATGAAAATGAAGCTTGTTTGTAGGCTGTAAATGATTCTCGAATAAACAGCCAGCTCCATGCAAAATTCCTTTTAATATTTTTATTTTTTAAATAATTAGTAAAACTATATGTACCTTAAATAGGAAATTTGTTGAAAATACAGCACATACTCAGTGTTATGTTCATATAATTAATTATTTTAGCAATTCTTTGTATATTCTTCAGATTTTGTGTTTAATTAAAGCACCTGTAGCCTGCAAATTCGAGTATTTCCATCGAATTTGTTATAAAGCTTGTGCTAGAGAAAAAAGTGTTATTCTTTTCACCATTTGTATAGTTTACCACACTATACCTCTTATGAAAAGTTGTAACGACAATAATATATTTTTAACGATTATGTTTTTGCATATTTCAAATATTTACAGTATTCTATGAAGAAAAAAAAATTAATCATAAGCGCATTTAGCCTGCGGATTTGAGTATTTGCTTCAAATTTGTTATAAAGCTTGCGCAAGAAAAAAGTCTTATAATTTTTTAAAAACGTGGTTGTGTTAACAAATTCATTTAACCGCATAAAAATTATAGAACAAAATAATAACATGGAATACCGTAGATTATAAAATCATATGTATGTATATACTTAATTAAAATGAAATATTTTGATGTTTTAGGTTGGTATCTGGTGCAGGTGACATTAAAATCACCAAAGACGGCAATGTTTTGCTGCACGAAATGCAAATTCAACATCCAACTGCTTCCATGATTGCGCGTGCCAGCACCGCTCAGGATGATTCTACTGGTGACGGCACTACATCAACTGTTTTGCTTATTGGCGAGCTTTTGAAGCAAGCAGATATTTTTCTTACCGAAGGTCTTCATCCACGTATTGTAACAGAGGGATTCGAAAAAGCGCGTAACAAAGTTTTAGAAGTGCTGGACGCAGTTAAAATTCCTATTGAAATCAATAAGAAGAATTTAATCGGTATCGCCAACACTAGCTTGCGCACCAAAGTTCACCCAGCGCTTGCTGATGTGCTAACTGAAGTTTGTGTCGATGCTATATTGGCTATACGTAAGGATGAGAAACCAGTTGATTTGCATATGGTTGAGCTGATGGAAATGCAGCATAAGACTGCCACCGACACCAGTCTTATACGTGGTATTGTCATGGATCATGGCACCCGTCATCCTGATATGCCAAAACGTTTGGAGAATGCTTATGTGCTCACTTGCAACGTTTCTTTGGAATATGAAAAGTCGGAAGTCAACTCAGGATTCTTCTATAAAACTGCTGAAGAGCGTGAGAAGTTTGTACGTGCAGAACGTGAGTTTATTGATCAGCGCGTACAGAAAATCATTGCGTTAAAACGTAAACTTTGTGACGGCACTGAGAAAACCTTTGTTGTAATCAATCAGAAAGGTATTGATCCCATGTCGTTGGACGCTTTAGCTAAAGAAGGTATTATGGCTCTACGACGTGCTAAGCGCAGAAATATGGAACGTTTGGCTTTGGCATGCGGTGGCACTGCCATGAATTCCTTTGATGATTTGGAAGAGGCACAGTTAGGTTACGCTGGTGTGGTTTACGAACACGTACTTGGTGAGAACAAATACACTTTTGTTGAGGAGTGCAAAAACCCACAATCGGTAACCATTTTGATTAAGGGTCCGAATAAGCATACTATTATACAGATTAAAGATGCCATACGTGATGGTTTGCGTGCCATTAACAATGCACTTGTGGATAAATGTGTTATACCAGGAGCTGGTGCTTTCGAAGTGCGCGCATATAACGAACTGAATAAATACAAGGATACCGTTAAGGGAAAAGTTCGTTTAGGCATACAAGCATTCGCCGAGGCTTTATTGGTCATTCCGAAGAATCTAGCAATTAATAGCGGTTACGATGCACAAGATACTATTGTTAAACTAACTGAGGAAGATCGTCTCAATCCAGAACCCATTGGTTTGGATTTATCAACAGGTGAACCAATGAAACCTGTGGATATGCATGTGTATGATAATTACTTGGTTAAGAAACAAATATTGAACTCCTGCTCGGTAATTGCTAGTAATTTGCTGTTAGTGGACGAAGTTATGCGTGCTGGTATGACAAGTTTGAAGGGTTAGTCAGATTTGGTTGCAGTCTACAAAACAATGTCTCAATGAACAATACCCGCATTCGCCACTATCTTAATTTTTCATTAATTGTATTATTTGTTTTTATTAACATTTGCAAATAGCTGACAGTGGATTATTTACTAAACCGGCTTAATGTCAACGAACTAAATGATTTATAAATTCACTTCAGCTATTAATACCATATAAATACTTTTGTATTAATTGAATAAAATGCATTTTTCTGGACGCTTATAAAATTATGCATATTTATTTATGTGTGCTGTTAGATTGTGTAGAAATTGGATAGTGCGTTAAATTTGGCTAGTTTTTTATTTTATATAGGCTGTGTTTCATATATATAACTACCACAACAGCTTATGAAATGTTGAACAACTAAACACAGCATGTCAGCTGTTGGTATTGACATATGAGTAGCAACAACACTTGCATTTTATAAACAATTAAAATGGATAATTATCCGCAAAAACTAATCGATCAGTATTTAAAGGTCTCAAATAAGCTAAAAAAATTTGATAGGATTGTATTCAAGTAAGTTTGAAACAACTATTTCATCGTATATATAACAAAATCATTATAATATGTTCTAATATAGGCGCTTTGCCCCCAATGTCACCGAGGTGTTGGATGAATTTGCACGGCTGGCGACACGCTTCGAGGAAGCTGGTATTTATCAGTATGCTGCTATGTGTCACTTAGGCGTGGCTAAGTGTGAACTTTCCTCCGGCAATGTGGTTAATGAATGTCAAGCTTACTTAAAAGCAGCACGTGCATTCATGCGCGCTAACAATACAAACGCCACACTACAATTGCGTTCGAGTGGCGGCGAATGCATGGAGGGCGCACTACGTTGCTACTGCCAAGCTTTGGAACGTTGTCCCGATGACACAATTTTAAAAGCGGCTATAATACGCGAAATGTCGCCGTTGCAACCACACTACGATGGTTGCAGTAGCTTCGCTTCACCTGCTCATCGTATTTTTGAATTGGAGTTGGCCGCGCACGGCTCACTGGAGCAAAGAGACTTTCTCAGCGCTCTACAACAACTTGATGATATAGTGGATAACATATGTGAACGTAAGCAACACGAATTGTACACCGATTTACTGCGACGTGTAGAAATATTACGTCTACTATTACTTATTGCATTGAATCTACCACCAGCACGACAGTCACCTTCACATATTAAATTAATAGAATATTATGAACGTTTGGCTGATCTCGATGATGAAAACGCAACGAACACAGGCTCGCCATTAGCGACTGTTAGTGGCAGTCACTATAGCACTGGTACTTATGTGCCACTGCAAATGAAATGGGAATTAGCAGAGATAGTGCTGGCTTGGAAAGAGTGTCGTATGTCAGATTTTAAAATTATGCTGGAGCAATTTTTAGTTAATTTTAATGCGCTAAATGAGGCACATAGGCATGTAGTGCGATATATATGCGAAAGAATAGCGCAGAAACATTAAATAGTTACTCACATGCTATTGTAATAATTAAAAACATTCCCCAAATATATTACCGCCTGTTTGTCAAGTGTATATTATATATAAAAAAGCACGGGGTCATGAAAAGTGTTGAACTTAATTTAAGAAGTACATATTAATGTTACTTATATTGCATGTGCACTTAATTCAAAAATAAAAAATATTTAAATTTTCTAATTCAGCAAAGTATTATTTTTTCTGTAGCCTGTTGTCAACGCAGAAATTTTAACAGCATTTAACACAGCAGTCGAGGCAGCAGCAGCAATACTGTTGGGAAATTTTAACAGCTCGTTTGTTTACCTAATAATTTTGTATAGCTGCAATAAAACTCGTTTGCTGTTGTTTTAATGAATGTCTGTAAATTTTATAATTTTATTTCAATCGGTGTAGTAATGTATTATTGAAGCTATTGGCGTACTTCATTTGCCGATCAAATACATTTGAAATAACTTGGTTTCTTTTTTCTTTGAAATATAAAAAATTCACCTTCTAATATATAACCTATAGGTGTGTATTCATATTAAAGTATATTTCAATTTCTAAAGACCTAAACATATCGCTGTCTGCATTCAAAAAATTTAAATCAAACGTTAATTCAACAAATATGTAAAATTTATTATGTTGTGGCAAAGTAAAGCACAAGTTTGTAATTTTCTTTAAATTTTGCTCTTTTAAAACTGTAGTTCTACTAAAGTGAAATGTTAGGTATTCCGTAAGTGCCGTTGCCACCAGCTTTTTGTAGTTATTGTTTGGTTTAGAGTACATTCACAATATTTGCAGCATAGCATATATAGTCGATATTTAGTGCATAATAAATTACTTAAACAATCAATCACAAATGTCGTTTTGTTACGCGGAAAT